CGAATGTCGTAATTTTCAGCTGAACAGCAGTTCGCTGCACTAGAATTTCTATACCAAAACCTAACAGGCCAGACAAATTGCAACAAGCTACGAAGACAAAAAAGGGGGAAAAACAGAAATAAAAACGAAAATGTATTTGTGGGGAACACATTGACCCGTGGGGGTGGATGATGAGTGGTGCAAGCGACCGGGTAGTGTTTACAAAAATTGACAAAAAAAAAAAAAGAAAAAAAAAAAAACAATAAAGAAAATCACAGTTAAACAGTCAGACGTCTAGAGCACGGGTCACCAACGATATGGTCATCAGAAGGTTAACAGAGCGACAGTACGAGCTCTTTAGCTTCAGCTGTGGGAAAGTGGTAATTTCAGTGTTATTTGAGGGTGGCTTCGTGTAAGATTCGGATTTAGATTGACTAATGTGGAATGCAACTTAAAACGGTTTAACGGTGACTTTTGTTGGCTTTAATTGTGTTTTAAAATTACATACTCGTATGTCGAATGATGGGGAATATATGTAGTATACATATATACATATACATATATAAGGCAACGGAGAAACGTGTGAAATAAATTCTAAAATGGAGTGACTGAAGACTGTTGATTTGTGGCAAGAAAAGGAGGTGAAAAGTCGAAATGACCAATTTGGAGGTTATGGGAAATTCATTTACTTTTAATGAAAAGGAATATTTGTAATTTATACGCAATTCCCTGGTATTACGCTAAGTGGGAGTTTATACTATAAATAAGTATATTTTATATGAATTTTTTATATTGTTGTTAGCAAATATATATTGCCGTATTCTTACTTGGTGTAACATGTACACTTGTATAGATAAATATATGTAAATATATTATATATATATATATATATATATATATATATACCCTTATACTTCAGCCCCAAAAACAAAATGTCAAGTGTTTTAAATTCGATTTCCCAACACAATCAAAATGTGCGAAAAGTCAAAAGTGACAGCTTATCGTATTAAAATTGGCTTATAAAACAACAAAAACAAAAACAGCAACAACACTTGTCGCAAAGTAATTCGAGACCAATGCGATTTGCTGCTGAATTCTAAGGGAAATTTGAATGAAATACAAACTTAATTGGATGAATTTTCGATAAGCGTAATTTTATGTCAATATAATATGTATGTATATATGTCTACATATATATATAGAGGAGAAAATGTAGATAATGAAGTAGAAAAGGAAAGAGCAGACAAATCATAAAATATTTAAAAAGAATAAAAAATGTGTATAAAAAAGCTCAAGAAGCTATTAAGGTGCGTTTGAGCGTGTCGAGTTCAGAGAAATCAATAAAACATGGCCAACGAATGGCAGCTAAGTTAGAAAAGTGAAACTTTCTATTGTAAATATGTATGAATATTTCGATTTTGCTTTTCCTTTACAGAAATGCACATACATCTACTATAGATATAAAAGCTTGAGTTGCAATGGCAACAAGGAAAAAGTAACCCTTTTCTTCGAAGTATTTACATATGTATCTATAAGGATATACACTTCCTCAGAAAAGAGTGACAACATTTGTTTAAATAAGTGCCGCAGTGGTAGGAGGTCGTGGTTTCAAACCCTCCAAAATTATACAAATTTATCTAAAAAAAAATTTTTTTTTCAAAATACCGCCACACCTCGGTAGGGAATGTCCGTCCCCTACATCTTCAATACTCAAAATTGTTAAAGAAATTAATTATTAATTAATAAGAGATTTTTGGAAACTGAAAAAGAAATGTTCCAGCGCGCCGCAAGCTGAGAACTTGGGAACAGCGTTTTAGAGGCTTCACGAAAGCAATCCCACAAAGTTTGTATGGTGGCTACATGTTACAGTAATTTCATTAGACTGACAAATAATTAATGAAGTGCAAAAATATATCTAAGGACCAAGTTTGATTGAGATATTTCTAAAACTGAGAGCCCCGTTTGTCGCTTATGGACAGATAGGCGGACAATCTAACATGACTAACTCAACTTAGCTCGTCATTCTGATCATATATATATATTTATATATATAAATAATTGGCGCTTTGTAACCGCTTAAGCGACTTTCGGCCGTTCTGATCATATCGGTACAAATTTTTATGGGTTCATCTCTTCTCTTTCTGTGCACTTTTGACCGAATTTAGTATAGTATTTCATGTATATGAAAGGAGGGTATAAGAAGTAGTGAAAGGTTGAAGTATGGCAAAAGGTTTGATTCATAAAAGCGTTGGCTGTTTTAAAATCGACAGCTTTAAAGACTTTAGGGGTGAGAGCCAAGATCATTTTGCAACCGGAGTATTACCTCTACCATCCTATACCACCTAGATAATTTTTGAAAACCGTCGACTCAACTTATACTTGGCCCTACGATATTTCTGTTAATCTGCTTGTATGTTTCGGCTGATAGACTCTTAATAATAATATAATTTAACTCGTATCAAAACTGTAAAATATAAATTTACCAGTAAACAAAAGACTACTTTTGGTTGATAAATGTTTCCAAAAATAGCAAATTTTCCGAAAGCATAGAACAAACATGCGTTAACTTAAGCCATGCGCCTAAATGCAGGCAACGCTCTATGTTGTCTATTAAGCGCCACATAGCCTACATTTGGAATGAGAACTCTATCAAGTTTTTATCAAAATGACTATAATTTTGTGCGTCACTGTAAGCAATACACTTGTTCTTCTATATTTATTACTTCTTTCTTCTTTCACCTCCCCGCCAAAGTAGTACGGGATATAAATAAAATCAAAGCAAATAAGATAAACATCTCAATCAACAGTCTACTTTATAAGCTGTCATATTAAACCGACTAACCTTCGTCGAATTAGTTTAACGACCCTGCCTCCCTTGTCAAGTTTTCCATGCAGAAAGTCCCAAAAAAAAAAAAAAAATTTTGTGTGTATGAGTATGACTCGTTTTAACGAAATCACTTAAGTGCCTCAGCCATTAGAAATCAAAAACCAAATAGCACAACCACTCACACATTACCACCATCCCAGCGCAGAGGAAAATTGCTTCAGGTGCTGTAGAATGAATATCAGCACAACCCCAATTACCCAGCATAGACTGACACACACACACACACGCACACATCTCGCTCTACTACCATCCGCAGTGCAAGCTTAAGCGCGGAGTCATTTTTCTTCACATCCTCCCACTTCTCTCATTTTCCTAGCCGCAACGTCTTTTAACTTCTTCGTTCTGTTGAATTATAGCTCTTGAGGCTTTTGTTGTTGTTACTGCTGTTGTAGTTGTTGTCGTTGCCTGTGTGCACTTGAACGATTCGAGTTGAAAGTTTGATTTAGCACATGATATAAATAAATAAAATGTGTTTATTAAGATGCTTTTTAGTGCTTCGGTAAAAGCGGAAAAGCGCCATAATGCGTAGAAGCTGTTCAAGGTATGTGCAGTCATACATACATACATATATATATGCATACATACATTTGCATGTAGATGTGCATGTGTACGGTGATTTTATGTACTTCTTGTGAAAGGGAAGTTGTTGACGGCAAAAGGATGTCTGCGAGCAGGAAATATCTAAAGACATCTGTTTGAGTTCTTGTGTATGTATATGTGAGCGCACACAAACATACATACATGTTCGTACAACAAACATACATAAACCACTTCGCCACCAATTGGGGAGGAGCTATTCAGCGTTTGTGTGTGCTTAATCGTACAACTTTCACGAGGGATCTGTGCAAGGGATGAATTTGTTGGTAAGAAAGAATTCTGTTCTTATGTTTCCATCTAAGAAATTGTATATGGTTTTTTTTATATAAAAATACATACATATACTTATGTACATATGCATTCCAAATTATGTATATTTATAAGTGGCGTTATTTGAATCAGCGATGTATGAAATGTGCTAATAGCCGAAGGCGAAAAATATAAGCGGTTATATGTTATTCTATAATAAGAACAAGAAAATATTAGGGTGGTCGAAAGATGTTGCAAAAAATAATTAATGTACATAAAATAAAGTCAACCCTTTCGAGTATATTTCTCACATGAAATAAAAGCTCCTCATAAAAATCCATTAGCCCATCGGAGGCGGCTAAGAAAAAACTTTAGGTCGCTCCCTTTCTTGGATAAACATCACGGCGCACACCACAAATTGCAGGAGGAGTTCGGCTGGAAATCGCTTTAGCGTCTAAAATGCGTCAAAGCCCTGATGGGCGTATTTTCAGAATAATTTTCGTTTGTCAAAAGAAATAAGAAAGAAATCTGTGCGTAAAAAATGGCATAAAACGTAACAAAATTAACGGAGACTTATGGTATGTCTGCTGTGAGTAAAGTTGGAGTTTACGTAGGGTACCCGTGTAAGCGTTTCCAAAAAGGTCGTGGAGACGTTTGAAAACGATGAACTTATTGAGCGCCCAGGCAAATGAATAACTGATGGAAATGATGTGGAAATAGTAAAATAAATGGGTTTGAACAATCGCCGAATCACAATCAGAGAAATCGCTAGTGAACTTGGCATGTCATGGCATTTTCTTCAATGTTTGAGTATGAAAGTCTTGGCCGAAATGAAGTCAACTGATAGGTTTTATAACAGTACGCGAAACACGAGATTGGTTTGCGGGCTTACAAAACTTAGTTCGTGCAGGAATGTTGAGCCAAGCGCATCGTGTGGCCACAATCCATTGTTGAGACGTCGTTACATCTACAAAAAGTCTGGTGCGCTCTATGGGCAATGGAAATCCTTCATTCGAGGTCGGCCATAAATGCTAAGGGCCATCATATATGACTTTTTGCACATTTTTAACGAAATGAAGATCCCTTGCCAAAAAATCGTTTAGTGTCTATTTTATGTGTGAAACAACTTTCCAATTTTGTATCATGCTTATTAGTTGACGGTTAATATATCAACCTTAATTTTCATTTATCTACTTAATACTTTGATGACTCATTGATTATATGTTAAAAAGAAAAATACCTCAATGTCCACTGGTAGACTTCATTAAAGTTTCTTTCTTAATTGCAGATTGGGTTTCATATCACAATGGGGCGCTCTAGCTGGTCGCTATGCAGCGCTGTGTCCGCCCGGTTGGCCTTGGGCGCCGCAACGTATGCCTTTCCACAGTCCCACACATGGTAAGTTTGCGTACACATAATGTATATTGATTACATATATTATATATATAGAGTATATCGTAACTATTCTAGTTGTTGTCTTTACTACTGAGATTCTTACGCGAGTGTTTTGCTTTGTTGGCTTTTTTCACGAATTTATGAAGTTGCCTTTGATGTTCAGCGTATGTATGAACGTACAAAAGAAAAAGCAAAATACAAGCTACATACATAAACACATATATAAAATAACTTTGTTCAAAGATTTCTTATTAAATATCAGCTTTAGCTAGGCTTTTGGAAGAATTCAGAATTTTTCGGGCTCAAGCTTTTTGGACATTTTTAACAAAATTCTCTCAGAAATTCATTCTAAAGATTTAAATTTATTTATGCATATTGAAAAACTTTGTGAAATGATATCTTTAGCTCTAGTATGTACATATTTAGCGATGTCAACTTGACTATCGAGGCCCATTTCCATCTCGATGGCTACGTTAACAAGCAAAGCTGTTCCACCTGGGCATGGAAGATCCAAGAATTATTGACGAAAACCCTCTCGATTCTCAATGTGTTATTGTTTGGTGTTGCTTATGGGTCGGCGGGGTCACTCTTACGCAAATAAATGGATTGCACTATCGAGAGATAAGAAAGTGTTCGCATTTGGTAACCGAGCTCTTGTGAGTTAATGCCTTGGAAGCGTCGTGAAAAATAAAGTCTACGCCAACGGGTCAAAGTCGTTGCAAGACCTCAAAGACGAACTTCGTGATGCTGTTCAAGGCATACATGAGCCGTGAATAGCGATTTGGTGATGGAAAATTTCAGAAAAAGGATAGGGTCCTTTAAACGTAGTTGTGGCAGCCATTTGGCTGATATGGTTCTCCATTATTAATGGCATATCATTTATCTCAAAGAATACAGAAAATGGCATTAAATATCGAAACAACTGCTCCTATTGGAAAACCCTGTATATGCATACAAATATTCGGCATCCGATGTAAAGCAACACTAACAGTGTGTGCTGTGAGCCGTAGGTTCTGAGTAACTCCGGAGCAAAATTTCGAAACTACTGAACATTTATTTTACAAATCTTTCGCATTTTCCGTACTTAAAAAAAATGGAAAGACTTTTTTCTAGAAAAAATTTATTTCTATTAATGTAAAATTTACACATATATATTTTTTTTTAATTCTTTTTATATGTATTTTGAAATAGTTTTTTTTCAATTTTACTTTTTTTACGTACACTTTCTTTAGCTTCCGTTTATTTTCATTTTCCTCTTTTAATTACATTGCCATTTTAATGCTTTGCGGAATTTACGCTATGCCTTTGACGGGTGAAGGGTGACAACAAGTAACAACGCTATTTAATTAACTGCTGAGCCAATAATAGCCACATTGCTGCTTCTTCTTCTTCGCTGCTTAATCGCCACTTTGCATAATCGTCGAATTCTTTGTGACATTCTTGAGTAGTATCGCCTTCGATTAAGCGATGCGTCGCGTCACAGCTGTCAACATTCCAATTGTCGTTGGACACTTTGTTTTTTTCTTCTTCTTCAGTTTACAGCCAATTTGAAGCTTACAAAGGCAATACATACTTGTATACATTCATATGAGCAATTACTTAATTAGTAGTTCTGTGTTCACATATGTATGTATGCCATAGTATATGTATACATACAAAATAATTAGCTATCTATCTATGTGCATATGTACATACCAGCTGCTAACAGAGACCACCCTTCCGCCTTCCACCCTCTACTCACACTCACTCCCCCACATGCGATTCTAAATCCATTTGCATTGTCGGTGCTTCGATCGGTTTTCAATTAATTGCAATTTGTAGCAGGTATTAAGTTACGTTGCTTAAGTACATCGAATTGGATAAGTTGTTGTTTTTTTTTCTCGACTCTCTCTGCCGCCGCACAAACGGACAGCTGGTTAACTATGCGTGCGAGTACATACGAGTATTTGGTTTGAGTGGGTGGATCAACTGTCCGGTCAAAGCGTTATGCGTGGAATCTTAGTCACATATGTATGCCGCTACATACTTACATATGTGGATAAGCATTTGCATACAAGTGTTCATGTGTTCATGTGTATGTGTCTGTGCGCGTTGTCTGCGTAGTTGCGTGGTTTTTGCCGGGGCATAGTGCAAAATCCGCGCATTACCAATAGTTTAAGCCCATTTAATTGGCCTCTTGAATTAAGTAACTACAATCGCAATTGAATTTGTTCATGTAAATTGGCCTTAAGTTTGTACGTTATTATCGCCATTGGAATGTACTTAACCAAATAGCGGAATAGTTGTACATACTCGTATATGCACGTACATATATACTAAATGCATGTAGATATAAAGGAGTAAAGACCAGGCAGGAAAGAAAGGAAAATTAAGTGCGGAAATATTTAACTGTTAATACCAAGTAATATATTCACATTTCATAAAATAACTTTATTGTCGTAGACAGAAACTTTTCCTTAATTTTTTTTATTTTTTTCTTGAAGTGTTTTGTTTTATGTATTTAAATTTTTAATGGTTATGGAAGCCCAAATTTGATATTTATTTGTAAAGGCAAATTTATATGTTTCCATAACCATTAAAAATTTAAATAAATAAATTGACGCCTTTTAAACGCTAATGCAATTTCCGGCCAAGTTGCTCCTGCAATTGGCAATGTGTTTTTTTTAACGTTTCACCAACAAATAAAGAGACCTACAGCTTACTCCGAACGTCAGATGAGTTTTTCTGAGAAACTTTTTATTTTCATGTCAGAAAAACACTCGGCGGAGCTGACATTCCATGGCGAGTGGTGACCGCAATTCGAAAATTTAAATTCTTTTTTTTATTTAAATTAATTTTTTAAACTTTTTGGATGTTAGGACAACACCGATATTCAAACAGTACTCCTCATCTACCGCGGCCGCCGATAAGAAAAAATGTCTTTGGAAACTTTAGTAGCAGACAATAAGCTGGCACAAATTTGCGATTACAAAGAAACTTTATAATAAAGATTAGAGATTTTTATATTTTAAAAGTGATTACTCGCCATGGCTAGCTCGAATAAATTCCAGCCGAGAAGTCCAATTTTCAATCTCTTACAGCAATTGGGGCTTGTATATCAGCAATAACGCGATGAATTTTCACTTTCAATGCGTAGCTCGTCTCGGGCTTATCTGTGTAGACAAGCGGCTTCACTTGAGGGGTTACATAGGTCTTGAAACTTCAAAAAAAAAATAATTTTTTTTAAATAATTTTTTGTATAAAAGTACAAAGTATCAGGAATATTTTCCCCAAGTTTCGAGTCGATCGAGCCGAAACTGTAGAAATTAGAGAGTTTCATAACCCGCCGTCCTTGTCATGGCTTGACTGATGATAAACTTTAAACGCGATTTTCTTAAAACCACTTTATCGAAATCGGTTGTCAAAATTTCTCAACGACTATTGAAGCAATCGAGTTAAAATTTTGAACACAGATCTTTTAAGCATGTTTTTGTAGTTCCTGAACGAAGAATTTATTTTATCTTTGATTTCAATTCATTTTACAAGCCAATATGTAGCCTAATTTTATGCAAAAAAATGACGTTTTTTGTAAAAAACGCAACAAAATTTCAATGTTTAATTTTTTTTTTAATTTTTCTTCATTCAGGAAAAAGGAAAATTCACTTACTTTAAGAAAAAATTTGGATTTTTGATATCATATAAAAATTGGAAAAGTTATCATGGCTACCGCGAAAGCACTTTCTTGTGGACAGTCTACTTCACGACACTGTCAACGCCTTAACTTAAACTATCTTTCATTCAAATTTTCATCAAATGTTGTCCGCACATTGTACTTTCATATGGAAACAAAATTAAATTGTATACTTAATTTAGTATCTTTAAAAAAAAAATTGAAAAAATAAGCTTTGTTTTGGCCTTCAAGACCTATGTAACCCCTTAACTTAACAAAAAACAATCCGGCGATCTTAGAGAGCACGCTTTTAGGCCCACGGCGCGGGATAATGCATTTACCAAAAGTCTACACCCCGATCTTCCAATTAAGGCATGAAAAAGTTAATAATCATTACTCTTTAATGTTCCCCATTTATCGAAACATTTCATTTTTGGAAAAATATCTGCCCATGGAGCACAATAAAAGGTGACTTTTTGAGCATGCAACGGCTTGTGGATTCTCCGCACTCCAATTGCGAAAAAGTTGTTTATTAACAAACCCATTCAATCAATCAAGTGAGCTTCACCCCTAAGCAAATTTTTTTGCGATGCGTCCTGCGATCGGAACCATTATTTGGGTGATCAATTTGAAAACATTGTTCGGGGCTAAGTCTGTTCCTTATGAAGTGGCAAATCAAACTGAAAAACTGAGTATAAATAAAGTAACAGCAGTCAAGGAGACCAAATCCAAAAAATATATAATGCCTCACGTTTAAAAAAACGACATTTTTAACCTCTTTTCCATGTATCTTGTTGTTGTGCTGTTGCATGCATAGGAAAAATGCTACAATCGGTGCATCATAGCATGGATTTATTATACAATAAGAGTATCCCTAAAATATTTCAAGCAGAATTCTCCATTAAAATATGTAATTAAAAATTCCTACATGGCATGGTTGCTTTTATACACATACATATATATATTCATATATGTGTATATAGTTAGGCAAATGTGTATATACACATGACACTCTGACATTCCAAGCGTTTTCAGGGAATTACAATACAATTCAAATGCAAACGTGTTGGTATTGTATTGAGGTATGTATGCACATACATACATACATATATGTATATGTTGATGTGCATGCGTGTTAATGGGACATTTGTTTTTGTAAATTACTGGCAAATTGAGTTCGTGAAATATGCAGTTTAATGCAAAGTGGATTTAAATGATTTTGTTTGTCATAAATTCATAATTTAAATTAATTTAAATACAATTTGGGTTTATGAAGTGACCAATTGTATTGTATTCTATTATATAAATGCGTCACTTGTTGGTGGGATCCAAGCATTTTCAAGCGGAGATCCCAGAGTTCATGGAGTGCAGAGTAAAACGGTGTATTACAGTATTCTTGAGCTTAAAAAAAAAAATAAAAAAAAAAATAAAAAAAAAAACAACAACTACAACATACTATTCCTTATAAAATAGATCTGATAAAACGTAAAACATCTACGGCGAATATTGTCTCAGAAAATCCACTGATTTGTTAATGACAATCTCGTGAGCCATTAAACGTTCGATTGGGTTAACAATGGAAAAAGTGGAAAAGCTAGTGGTGGAAGAAAATACTGCTTCATAAAAAATTCTGCATCGCAATTATTTTGAATTGTTTTTATTCCTACCTTTGTGCAGCCTAACGCCACGTTTTCTTTCACTTCACCCATTTTCCAGCCTTCAGTATCTAAACTACTTTATATTCTCTTTTGACTCATCATTTAATGAGATAATTTCGTTGAACAGTACTAAGTCAAAGGATATTTTTCGTGTTTCGAGCACTATGACTTTTTTCTCCCTTGATAACCGGTTCAAGTGTACCAATTTCCCACAGCACTGCCCACACTCGTTTAGTTATTATTTTGTTAGCACGTTGTTTACGATTGGATTTAGTACGACGTCCATGAAATGATCTAAAAATATGTAAGAATAAATCAAATATCACAAGTTCTTTCTGGGCTGTGCAAGATGAATTATGACCGATCCTCACGAGTTAAGGCAACATTTTTACCATAAACTTGACATTGCCTGAGAAAAATCCAAGTATTTCTTTGAGTTATGGGAAGATAATTCTATTTAGAATTTATGGCGAATTTTCTTTGGTGCCAAAACATGGGTTTATTATTTTAAGCCTGAGTCGAAGCAGTCGTCCAAGTAATATTATAAAAAGTACTGCTATCCAAGTGCTCGAGTCGAAGGGATAATTTTGATATTATGAGGGAATGCTATATATTTATATATATTTATATATTTATATATTTATATATTTATATATTTATATATTTATATATATAGTATATGGCCAAGCTCCTCCTCCAACTTGTAATTTTACGGCTCCATCTTTTTTCTATAAATTGAAAGATCTACAGTTTATACTAAGCCGCCTCTGAACGGCTGACGGTTTTTTATGAGGAGCTTTATTTCATGTCAGAAATACACTCGGAGGAATTGACTTTCCCTGCCGAGGGGCGAAGGCAATTAGAAAATTTAGCTGAAATTTTTATTTTAAATTAATTTTCTATAACCTTTTGGATGTTAATACGAAATCAGGAATTGAACTTTCCGTATGGCAGTACGCAGTGCTAACCACAAGGCTACCGCAGCAGATAGCGATTAAAAGTATTCAGATGAATTTTAGAAAAAAGAAAGAAATGTGTTGTTTCAATTCACCAAATCCTTCATCTTATGCAGGTTCATGATCCCAAAAAATTGTGTTATCTACATTACCCTAAGTAGACGTTCTTTAGAGCTAGAATTGAACTTCAGCCATTCATTTTATATAATTCATTTGCAACCCTGTATAATGTTCCGAAGGTGAGAGATAATTTTTGAAACGAACTTTAGGAGACGAAACAGTTTTAACTGACAAAAGAACATACTTTTAATAGAAAATTGCTGATTCATCTTCTTAAAAATATATTATTAATATTAACTTTGGTTTTGCCTCAGAAAACAATCGGCAAAATTTTTATATCTGAAGCGAAACGAGTTGATTTGAACTCGGTAATTGAATATTTTTTTTTTAAATGAAACTCTGCTGTAGCGGTTAGCATTACGCACTGGGAAAGCTTGGATTCAAATCCAAAAGTTATGAAAAATTAATTTAAATAAAAAATTAAATTAAATTTTCAAATTGCGAGGTGCGACCGGCATGGAAAGTCAACCCCTCCGCATGTATTTCGGACATGAAATATAGCTCCAAAGTAAAAAAAAAAACACCGGACGTTCGGAGGTGGCTTAGTATAAACTGTAGGTCCTTCAATTTGTTGGAAAAACATCAAGGTGCCAAACCACAAATTGGAGGAGAAGCTCGGTCGAAAAATCGCTTCAGCGGTTACAAAGCTTTAATTATATACATATATACAAACATAATAAGATGATTCCTTACTCCATTTTTTTTTTCAAAAATTATAATAAATTAATCGGGGGAATGCTATAGAGGCATGATTAATGAATTTTTCATGCTTAATTTCGATATGGATGTGGACGACATTTGGTTCCAACAAAGCGGCTCTACAGCGAACGAAATAATCAGTTGATTGAAGCGAACTTTTGATGAGTGCATTATCTGGCGTCATGGGCTTGTGGCGTGGCCTTCAAGATCATGCTTTTTAAGACCGGTAGACTGTTGTTTGTTGTCTATAAAATAGCGCGCCTACGTAGATAAGAATAAGGCGATTAACGTCTTTGAAGAAGTTCTTCGGCGCATTATTGCTTACATACGGCTCCAATCGATGAAAAAAGTGGTGGAAAAGTGAGTATCCTGGCCGTAATTGATTCGAGTCAGCAGCGGCGCTCATTTTCTCGAAAATTTTTATGAAACATAATGGCAAGCAATCCTAATAAAGTTAAGTTCTTAACCAAAACATTGGAGATTATATGAATTTTTATTATCACTCTTTACATTAATGTGTAAATATGTATATATATGTATGTACATATAATTCCGAAATTTACCTCCAAATTTTAAAGCGCCCTTAATTCCTTGATTTTAGTTATATAATTTCAAAATAGGAATAAAAATTTCGAATTACTTCAAGCTTTAAAAGTACCTTTCTTTAAGCCAAAACTGAAGCAGATTTTTAATTACCCAAAAACCCAAAAAGGTAACAAATTCCCGCTGACTGCAACTATTTCTCTCGCATAAGTTAAAGTTGAGAAAATCGACCGACTGACAGCCATTTTAAAAAGTTGTAGACACACACACACACACACATATATACATATTCACGATTGAGCACACAGAAATTCATTTGAGTATTTTGAGTTCGATGGCGTTAAATATATATACATACACATATAAAACTATGTAAACAGGAGTGTAAAACAAACGCCCACTGGCTGGCACTTAATTTTATTTTCCACCACCAAACCATAACTACTCACAAAGAGATAAATATAATTTAATAAACATTCCAAAACACACACATAGAAAAGCTCGTAGGAAATATGGATGGTTTTCAACGCCCACTGAGCCACACGCTCGCTCGTCGCTCACCACGACTATCTTTTAGAGCGCGTTTACTCACTGCTTCTGCGCTTTGAACGCTACGCCTGAGCAGCAGCTGGTAGTGAGTATCGTTAAAAGCTGCAAATTCAATTTGCCAGCAAAGGATACAGTAAAACAAATGCACAAATATCTATAATATATATATGGACTTATATATGTACATATATGTACGTGTATGTATGTATGTACGATTGCATGACTATTTAGAAGGGGCGCATTAAGTGCAACCCCGCAAGACAGCTATACTGTCTGCTAAGTTTTGTACAGAAAGCAGCGCCCACAAAGCAACCAACCAAACAACTAACGTGGCCGCCACTCCATCTCTGTTGTATTTTCACTCAGCCACTTAAACTCAATAGAATCTCCATACCGCCTGATACTAATTACACTCATTTAACACTCGTTTCTCTCTCGTCTTTGCAGACAGTTCCTCAACGAATACAACAGAAAATCCTTCCTCGCCCACATCGCTCAGCCCCAACCATATTGGCGGCAGCAGTGCTGGCGGCAGTGCCAACAATCACGGCAACGGTGGCAACAATGGCAACAGCAATGGTAACAAATCGCCCTCGCCACACGGTTACAGTCATAGTCAACAACAGCATCCACACTTAGCACATCCACACCAGCCTTCGACGCCTACCAGTAGTAGCGGCGGCAGCGGCGGGCATCCACATCTCAGCCATCATAGTTCACATTCGAATTCCAGCTACTTACTGCCCAGCAGCTCGAACGAGTCGGACGATGACGGTGAAGAGATTATTGAAGAGGACGACGGCAATGACGGGCCTTCGGATGGTTCGTCGCCACAAGGCGGTGATGCAAATCAGTCGAAACGTAAGAAGAAGACACGCACAGTCTTCTCGCGTGCACAAGTCTTTCAGTTGGAATCCACATTCGATCTGAAACGTTACCTCAGCTCATCGGAGCGTGCCGGTTTAGCAGCCTCGCTACGTTTAACTGAAACACAAGTGAAAATATGGTTTCAAAATCGACGCAACAAATGGAAACGTCAGTTGGCGGCAGAGTTGGAGGCAGCCAACATGGCGAATATGGCACATGCCGCACAACGTTTAGTACGCGTACCAGTGCTATATCATGATGGCTCGGGTGCAGGTTTTGTGCCACCACCACCGCCACATCATCATCCAATGCAATATTATGCAGCGGCTGCCGTGCGCAACAGCAGCCCACCACGACCGCCGCTCTCATCGCTGGTATAGGGCGTGGGGTGCCTGGCGGCTGCAGTGGGATCGAACTGTGGCGGTCCCATTTCACTGTTAAAGCCGTCATATGCTAACCATGCGCCCATAACACCAACACAGACAAGATCAGACATGCATGATATGGACGATTCGGAGCTGGATGAGGAGGAGGACGAGGAAGAGGAAGCCGCAATCGATGTCGAAGCCGATGGGGATGAGGAAGAGTTGCGGCATGAAATGCGACAAACGCCACAAACGCCAAATGGCACTACTACCAAAGACACCACGGCTTTCAGCACCACTAACGGTAATGGCGCTGGTAGTGCTGGCGTGCGAAAGGCGACACCATTCGAGCTGTTAGCGAAAAGTGTCAATTGCCTGGAGATGCACAGCAACACCGGTGGCAAGGAAGTGAACGTCAATTACGTTGGCGTTGGGAGCAATGAAAATGGCGTTGAGAAAGTTGCTACAACGCATAAAGTGTACTAAGTGGTTGGCATGAGTATGGAAGACGTGAGATGCTGACTCGGGTGTGTTGTAAATTTTTATTGAGTCATAGTATTGAGAATTGAAGAATAATTGGTTTCACAAACAAAGAATTTCATGAAAGTAAAAAACAAAAACAAATATTTTTTAAAGGGGCAAAAGTGTTGCTGGAATGTGACACTGGAAAGGACATTGTAAATAATTCATCTTAACTGTCCTTTGTAAAATAAAAACGTATTAAATAAAATCAATGTTCAAAAGTTTAGGTTTCCAAAGAAGAAAAAATAATTATAATAAAATCAAAAACACAAAGAACGAATTAGAAAAACAACTTTTCTAAAAGTATGCTCTGCTAAAAAATTTCCATTTCTAATTCTATAGCCTCTTGCTCTCTATTTCTATGTATATATGTAAATAAAACAATTCCTTGCTCAACGTTTATGCTTTCAAAAAGAATTAAAAACAAAACTTATTAAAAAAAAGTAAGTAAAAACTGAGTAAAACAGAAAGTATCATAAGTTCAAAATACAAAAAAAAAAAAAAAAAAAAGAAAAAAAAAATTCTCATAAAAAATTTTGTAAATTATTTATAATCTCTATATGCTAGTGTGTTCGTGTTTGTAAAATATGTTTGTATGTAACTATGTATCTCTTGACTTAACGAGAAATTAAAACGTTTCGTTGAATATGTATGTGTCTGTATATTTTATGACATAATCTACACTTAATTAGTAATTAAATGAAGCAAATTAGGCTCGTAAATACATACATATGTATGTACGCATGTATGTGTATCAAAATTTCGTACGTAATTATGTTTGTACATGAGTAAAGCCAAAAAGTAATATACACATATTATATATAAGTACATTTAAATATATATATATATATAAATACATATGTACATTAATGCATATTATTATTCTAATTAATCCAAGTACTTAATTACCTTAATGATAATTACTTCAAATTAATATAACGAAAATTCCAGTTAGCGTGTAGTTAAATTATGCCATAATAAATGTTAATATTTACCATATCTAAAAGAAAGAAATTTAATAAAACAAACAAACAATAGAATCAATAAAAAAATTACTTACTTATGCAGCAAGTGAAATATCGAAATTACAAAAACATATATAAATTGTGTTTTATTGCAATTGGGCTGGTGTGTTAGTGGAGAGATTTTGGAGTCACAAAAAATCAAATACCGAATCTCAAAACCAATGGTAAAGGAATTCTCCTAATATTTCTGCCTACAGGCCTATTCTGTCAAGGTAACAAAATTTACTTTGGCATTGAAATTTCCCATTTAGTAAATTTTGTTACCATTTCGTATTCTGAGCTCACTGTTACCCTGTCAATTTTGTTACCAGCGAAATAGGAGGTAACAAAAAAATCTACTGCTTAATTTTGTGTTGTTTGTTTCAGAAAAAATAAGAACCAAAATGGGTAGGCATATTTCGGTCCTGGAATTCGTTGAAGATGAAGAAACAAGTGGGAAAAGGCGCATGCTAAGAAGTATTCGGGACGAAAAATAGCCCTTTAATTTGTTAGATAAAGTTTTCATTCTGCTTTTTTTGTCGTTCAGGCATATTTTCCATGAATAGGTTCAACTATTTATGATTTAATAAACAAATTAATAAAACTTATTTATATTTTGAAATCTTTTTTACTACAGCAAATGGCAAATGTAATTTGACAAGGACAAAAAAAGCAAGGCTGCTGTTTTTTCAAACATTGCAACCAGTTCGCCACAATACCAAATTCAATTTTGGGTGTTTAAAAAAGAGCAGCAAAACTTACTTTACCGGTAACAGTGAGAATAGGCCTGTTAATGATATTTTAATTTTAATTTACCACAAAAAAGCAGAGCGAAATATTAAAAAAAAAATTTCTTAGCTTTCAAAATTTTAACCTTATTTAAACTCATCTTTATCTATATTTTGTATATAAATGCTTTGTTATGAATGCCTGATGGATCTACCCACAGCATAAACTACTGCTTGTGAAAACCTGAAACTTGCAGTAAATTTTCCGGGAAGTGGATACCATAATTGATTGGTACAGTAGTAGCTTTGGGTTCAAATTACCATTGGGAAAACTTTTTCTACCGGGATCGATTCGATGGCTCAGCTTATAAGTTATAATAAAATTAATAATGCATTAAAACTAATAAATTTTATTAATACCATCTTAAAATTCCATGCGGATGAAGTCGCCGGCAAACTCTAGTATTATATATTAGGTATAGTAAAAAGTAGTGTAAAACGTTTATGATTTTGATACTGTTATAGTAAATCGTGCACAATTTTGGGAACCACTTGAAAAAGGCTGGATAGACAAAGTAGTCCAATGTGTGAGGAAAAACCTCATGAAACAAATGCTGAATCGTAACAAAATTAAGTCATTTCTGAAGCGCTGGTGACTGTGTGATGAAAAGTGGAGCACTTACAGCAACGAGACACGAAAACTTTCGTAGTCGAAGGGCAGTGAAAGCCAGAAAGGCTTTGTTGTTTGTTCGGTTGGGATTGGCTTATAGCCAAACTCTTAATTCAGACCTCTACTGTCAGCAATCAGACCATCTGAAGCAAACAACCGTCCAGAAGTGCCCAGCTTTGGCCAACATGAGGAGAATAGTTTTAAAACAGCACAACACCGATGTGTATGCCACATCAATAGTGACTCGCCAGGAGCTCGGTAGGGAGCTAGTTTGTAACCGTTGAAAGAATTTTCGGCCGAGGCCGGCCTCTAATTTTTGGTGTACGTCTTGATGTTTTACCAAATGATGGTTTACTCTAGGTTACCACTGAAAAGAGGATGGATTTTTGTGTAGAGCTATGATTTTCATGTGGAAATTCGCTCGGAGGGCTTGACATTCCTTGTCCAAGGTGTAATGTTGGATGTTGGTCGAACCAGGAGTGCTGATAATCTACAAGTGATTGTTGAGACGCTGTTGTAACTTCAAAAATTCAATTTTGAAGCATACTGACTGAAAGACTAATGAAACCAACAAACTCTTTGAACCGCATCAGTGTGGCTTTGGACCTGGGGAATCGACCTGTGTATTTAGTATCGCCGCAGAACTAAGACGATTATACGAATATAATCTTAATGCTGAACAAAATAATAACAGCTGCAGAACGTAATAGAGAAAGTTCGATCTTCTATAAGAGCATCGCCAGTCTTTAGGCTGAATTAGGAAGGGAAGCGCATTGTTGACAGTCTTAATTTCGAAGTCGTCGATAAGTCCAAAAATCAAACTCTACAAGAGACTTGTGCGTAGTTACCGTACTGCAATTGGGTGCAGAGGAATTTACGATGACAATCCGATGAGTCGATGTCGGTAGAAAGTTTCGCAACATCTTGGCAATGTGAATATCGCACCCCATGGAACGGTAATACATTAAGACCAGCACTTTTTTTTGTTAAGTTGACGGCACTGTGCTTAATTACTAAGCGAAAAATGAGCGCGATCTGTTAGAAGCAGCTGTTGAAATCAATCGACCTCAGTTCCCTCTGCGAATTTTCTTTTACGGCCTCAATCGAATTGAAACGGTTTCCAAGGAGTGGTAACTTGAGTTTTGGAAATAAAAAAAATCGCATGCGGCCAAATCCGGTGAAGACGGTGGTCGATCATTAGTATTGAAAGAGTTTTTGGTCTAAAAATCGTTCTCAACTACAGCTCGGTGCGATGTCGATTATCATCATGAAAGTTTCCGGATATTGTGAACCCAAAATTTCGACCGTTTATGACGGCTGTTTTCGCGCAAACGCCTGAAAATGCTCAAATAATGCGCCTTATAGACGGTCTGTCCCGCTGGAACGAATTCATGTTGATCTAAACTGCGAATATCGAAAAAAAAAAGTTTCCGAAACTATGTGATCTTAATGTATAAGACGACATTAACTATTGCAGCGATTGAAGAGTGTACGGCATGTTCCCTGGATGGCTGAGAATATTCCAGTTTTGAAAGCACTCGATGTAGAAGCCGCCAGAGAAATCATAGCAGGAGGAGAAGGACCTGACGTCAGTTGGATCGAAGAAACAGCTTGCGCGCTGTTGTTAACTCGGCTATAATTGCATAAGTAGTGTCTTTGCCAGTTAAGAGGAGAAATGAAACTAGCAATTTCATCGCTGTAGGCCCACTCAGTGCTACAAAAAAGACGACGAACTTCAATTGTACGCAGGCGCAGTTTTCTCGAAATGCGGCTTGAAAGAGTGTCGTGCCATCGAAAAATTGTGCTTTGACTCTGCGAAAACTAGTCAGGCTAGGTATCGCCCGATTAATTAGGTCTAGGCTATATTCCTGCTATCTCTTTCACTTTATCTTGGAGCTCATCCTTGAGGTAGGTAGTCCTCAGCAGTACTCAGTGGAGTTGTGATAAATTAGCCACAAATATCTATACATATTTTCCAAAGCGTCTCTTGAAAGCCTGAATAGCCTACTTTTCCATTTCACAGCACTTGAAAAGATTTCCCCATGGAACATGACATTACAGCAAAGCAATTCAATTCAAATGAAATCGATAAAATTGCCTGTATGTGTGTGCGTACTTGCCGCAATTCTCAGTCGGTCTCCAAGCATTAGAGCGATAATCGGAATGAAATAAAAATAAAAACTCGGCTAATAAAAAAAAAATAAATAAATGTAACAAAACAAAACCAACAAATATAACCCCACCGAGTTGTGGCTGAAATGTGTAAATTGCTTAAAACTGTGCTACATAACAACAGCAACAACTAACAACAATGCGTGCGATTTAAGTTGTTGTTGCCTGATTGCCGCCACTCATGTTGCAGGAATTGCAACAAATACCCAAAGGCATTTCGGTGTTGCAGTGGCAATGATACCAACAACAACTAAATCAAAAAAATGAAAGCGCAAACACATACATACATACATATATCAGATAAGTGTGAATACATATGTATATATGTAAATACATATGATATGTGTAGTAAAATGGCAAAAATATATAAATATTTCTGCATATAAAAGCTTGCGTGTGTGTGTGTTTATAAGCAATAACAAAAAAAAAGGGAGTAAAAAAAATAAATTAAAATAAAATGCGATTATTTTTCGCAATTCCACACGCCACCATTGCCGCAGCCACACCGCACCGCATCACACTAAATGCCACAATAAAATAAAAATACAAACAACAACATCAACAACAATAGCAACAAGTAGAACAACAACTATGACACAGTAATAACAACAACCGCGACATTTGTAATAATTG